AAATGACATGTCTTGTCACTTAAGCAACTCCATCCAAGCACAATCTTCAGGTGTAGAAAACTAACTCTCTCTCATCTCTTTGTGTGTCCATTGCTCTCACTCTCTGTGTGTGTATGCATGCTCATGCATGTATCAAAATCAGAAAATTGTATTATATAGAAAATACCTCCCACATTCCATTCATGTTGGCCTTTATTTCCTGCATGACCCATTACTGAAACAATTTGAGCTTTTAATTAACTGTTGCCTATGTTAATTTTTTTCAAAATGCCTTAGGGATATTTAATGGGGATGTTGGATGTTTAGCTACACCCCCTTTGCTCACTACTTTCACTGACATTAAACTGGTAATTGTTTAATAACTAGGAAATACACCATCATTCATAGACACCTGAAAACTAATTCCATTCTTTTCTCCCACAAATATGCCATGTCTTTCAATGTTCATCAAATTCAATATTTAATGAAGTCACTTAGCATGTGAGCGAGCTCCATCCAAACACAACCAGTGCTAATTGGGTCAACGGTCTTAGATTTTGAAGACAGAAGCCCTTCATGAGTGTGTAAGTTTGTATGAGAGTGAAATCTAAGTCATTGGTGCTATTCCAGTGGGAATTATGGCAAGATCCTCTTCCATAGGCATATAACCACTAACAGCCATGTCCCACATCAGGGCTTCTCTCTCTCCATGTAGCAGAGCCGTCTTCTATGGACCCAGGGTATCCAGCTAAACAAAATGGGACTTGCATAGTGCATCATATGTCTGTGCATTGGTATGGATTCCCCTGTTATCAATGTGTTGCCCACCTGTTAGGGTTACCTTCCTCTATGTATACTGAAACCTGCTGCCATGTTCCTTGCCTCTCCCATGTTTTCTATGTAAATAAGCAAATTACTGTGTTTGTTCAGCTCACTGTCATTGCTCCCCAGGTCCTGTTGCATAGCTGAGCTCCAAATATTTAACTGTAGAGAAAAAAAATGTCATGCAATATTCTTTATTTCATTTCACTTTTGCCTCCTCTGGCTTTTAAACTCTAGATCCAGGGAATGTTGTCTGTGACCTGAACTGAGCATTTTTGCTCTAAAATCTAAGAGCATCCTCAATCAGATAGAACATAATTGTTGATGGAGGGAGGGCCTGCTTTTCATCCAGGACACCCGGCTATCTTACACCCGAAATAATCACACAGAAACTGTATTCATTTAAATCACTGCCTGGCCCATTAGCTCTAGCCTCTTATTGGCTAACGCTCACATATTGATTTAACCCATTTCTAATAATCTGTCTGTCACCACGACGTCATGGTTTACAGGGAAAGATTCAGCATGTCTGACCTGGCAGCTCCATGGTTAGCTCTTTCATTCTGCTTTCTTCCTTCCAGAATTCAGTTCTGTCTTCTCCACCTAAGTTCTGCCCTATCAGGCCAGGCAGAACTTCTTTATTATACCAATGCAATCAACACACAAACAGAAGGACCTCCTATGCCACATAATGGTTAGCAAACATTCCCCATTTCTGAGCTTCCTACTCCATTTAATATGTATTTTTAATTCTAATTTTAAGGTTATGTATTAATTACCATAGAATTAGATTTTTACTAGTTTTCATTCATATAATATTCACTACAAATGAGTTTGATTTTCTGAAGTTGATGTTTTGGATAAGCTAACATTATTCACAACAAGTGCCAAGGGAAGGCTTTTCCTTTTGGGGGCATATGGGAAGAGGAGGGTAATCTCTCTGCCAGAAGAATACACAACGGTCAAAGTCATAAAATGTGCATGCCTTAGCATCGCCTCCTTTCCCGTAAGCTCTTTCATGTTTTTACCGCTGGGTTTCCATGGAGAGACTGTCACAGAGCAGTCCACTCTCATGGTCCTGGAATCATTGATGTGACTCTGAGACTCAATGTCCAGTCCCCTGTGCTGATGCATGGCAGTTGGTGTTAGCAGCGTCCACAGGTTAGGTTACAAACTCCTTCCGCGCACATGCATGTTTCTCCCCGCTCCCCACAAGGAGAAAACTAGACAGTGTTACCTCCCTCTTATTTAGTGAGCTTGATGGGGGAATGTGACTCCATCCCTCCCGTGTTCAGGGGTTTGCCTAACCATTAACCCTTCCTGCTTGCCTTTGTTGAACACAAGGATGTTCTCTATGGCTTTGAGTGGCAGCTCCGACTGTCCTTGACAGCAGTCTGCTAATAGGGGTTGGCAGTTTGAAAAATAATACGAGGAGGGTTTGTTTAAAGCTGAGATAACAGTTCATATTTTGAGATGCTCATTATTAATTCCAGTATGAAATGATTTGCACTTGTTATTAACACATTAAGACAGCCAAGGAAAAATTAGAAGGTGACTCAACAGGAGACAGTCAAATGTGGAAGAAAAAAAAAAAACACAGAGGGAAACTTTTTCCTAATGAGCTGAGTCCATGTTTGAGGAAGATCATCCATCTTAAAGCTTGATTGGTTGTTTGGAGGTTTGGTGTGTATTTATTAATTAAATTTTCTAACTGATACATAAAAATGTGAAAGATATACATAATAACAGAGTATTAATGATGATTTTTTTATGTCCTAAGTAGCTGATATAGTGGAATAAACTGAATTGTCATCTTCTGAGAGATGTATTACTATGTTATGGCATTTTGAATGCATAAAACTGAATACCTGTTACTTCAAAAGCATCATAGATAATTTAACATTTTACCAGTAAAGTAGGAGATAAACTGTGATGAGGCAGAGGTTTATATCCTCAACGTTGAAGGAAAACCATCTTCTAAAACTTGAAAATAAGACATTTATTATCTAAGAAAAAGCATGTTCTATGCATTATGACAGGTGTGTCTGTATGTGTGTATGTATTATGCATGTATATATGTGTGTGTGTAGTGTGTACTTGTGCATATGTGCATTATGTGTTTATATGTATATATTTCCATGTATATATGTATGTCTGTGCTTCTATAAGTGTAAGCATATGTGTGTTTACGTGTTATGTGTGTATGTGTATATATCTGTATATATGTATATGTGTTTATGCATATGTGCATTGAACTTATATGTGTATATATGTATACATATCTGTGTATGTATATCTATATATGTGGGTATATGTGTGTATATGTATGTGTGTTTATGTATACATGTATATGTATGTGTGTATGTCTGTATAAATATATGTGTATATGTTTGTGTATCTATATATGTGTATATGTGTTTGTATGTCTGTTTATGTCTGTATGTGTATATGCGTATGTTTGTATTTCTGTATATATGTGTGTTTCTATGTCAGTATATGTGTGTGTGTGTGTATGACTCAGCTGAAAAGTTGAAATAACTGAAATGGTTGGTCACTATTTTCTTTGCTTTGTTACATCATCACCTTGCTTTTGACAGTGAGAAAACAGCATAGTGAACCAAGATGCCATTCCTTGTTTTTTCTGTTTATTTCTCCCAATTTGAGATTGTTATAGTGTACTCACCTCATTAAGTACTTGGAAATAATTTAGAGTTTCAAGGTGTCTGCCTTCCTGTTCTTCTGATTTCTTTGGGAATTCACATACCATGAGCTATGTCTGAGAAAATCGCATCTAGACCAACTTTTCTCTTCATGCTGCTGACAACTGAGGGGCTTGACTTGAAAGACATTTAGTCTCTAGGTCAACTGGAGAAGTGAAAAACTTAATATGAGACTGATTTTAAGGAACGTTTTCCTTCTAGTCTGGTTTATCCTTCATGTTTCTTTGAAGAAAGGACTGCTGACTGTACAGTCAGTTATTTTAACATTGCCAAGATGGAGGCAGGAGAGAGGAATGTGGCGATGAGTCTATTAATAGAAGAGGAAGCCTGCGAGTGTGTGGGCTCTTGAGTACATTTTGTCTTTGTGTCTCTGTCTTAAAGAGCATTATTATTAACTCACTGTGAAAAGTCCTGTTTTCAAGAAAGCAGCTTTTGTGTAGAAAGGGGTAAAAACTAGTGATTTCAGGTTTTGCACAGAGAAAAAGAATGTTGTAGCAATATGAAGTCTGTGTGGTAAGTAACTTAAAATGGAGGTAAAATCTTCCTTTAAGCTGAAGCAGCTATTGAAGTTTGAGGAATTATTTTCAGTATGTTGATAAATGAAAAATTACATTCTACTGTTTTCACTCATTTCCCCAAAGTATGCAAATAAAAGTTAATTTTTCTGTGAGAGTGACTTTTAAACCACAGGCAGATTTTTTCTTTACGTTTTTCTCTATAAAAGCCAATTTTGTATGGAGCAAATTATTTTAGGCCTAATTACAGTGAGTGTGGTTAGGTTGCTAGCCCTATTGAGGTTGAATTGCATCTGAACTTTCTAATCTTTCTTTCAGAATTTAATAACTGACTCAAATATTTAATAGTGGGAGCTTTTATTAAATTAAAAGGAAATCAGAATATATTTTTAGAAGAACTAACATATTTTCTTTATCGGTTTGTCTACTTGAGAGGGAAAAGAGCAGAATGGAGCCAATCCCCTATATACTTAAATAGACATTAATGCTGTAAGCTCAGAGCATAATTTCATTCAGCTGGTATCATTGTTCAAAAGGTTTGGGAAGCATCAAATGGCAGGAATAACTATGCTTCTAGGGCTACTGAATATCAGATCGCATTGCATGTTTGAGCTTCTTCATTAGTCTTGTGCATAATTATTTTTTAAAACCACTTGTGCGTCTGAGGACAACAATTAGACCCTTCTTAGACCATTCTCTAGTCTTGCCTAACACATCTGTTCAATGCAGTGGCTGGTTTTAAGCTGCAGTAAGGAAAGATGAGGGTTGAAAGTCTGAGTCCATGCGTGCTGTCTTACCTAGACACGCCTGAAGAGCATTAGCTGCTCATTTACAAGCATCCTTTGAAGCAGAACGGTGAAACCCTAAAGCGTGTTATAAACCCTTTTAATTAAAATACATTGTGCCCTTTAGTCTCTTCTCCCTGGGGTTCATTCGACCTCTCACCTCTGATTTTGTCTTGTAGGCACACCACTGCTGGTGAGGAGAAGCAGTGAACCAGCACCGGGGCCACATGCTGATGCCCAGCCAAGTGCTGCCAGCCAAAATGGCCAGAGTTTGAAACCTGTTGTTCCGGTAGGTGTCTTAGCATTCGAGTTTCTGCGAAGGATCAAAGGACCTTGCCCATCAACTCCAGAGAGCTAAGAATTATATATAGGCCTTTTGATCAAATGCAAAGTAGTAGCTATAAAAATAGATAGCATGGTCATGTAGTCTATGTTTATAGCAATAGCCGTTACTTACTTAGCACTGATTGCATGTCAAACCCTCACTTAAATTTCCACCTGTAAGTAAGAACAAGTGTTAATCTCCATTTTCTTGATAAAATATGGGGCAGGGAGAGATTCAGGAACATAACTATTTGTTCAAGGACACATAGCTAGGACCTGGGAGACCTAGGAACTGAACCAAGTGATTCCAAAGACCCTGTTTGCAGCCAGCCTTTGACCTGTTCCATGCCTATTGTCCCTGCTTAAGACTGTCAAAGAATGAATCGGTGTATTTTAAGTGATTCAGCACAGTGCTTTGTAAGGTAGAAGAACAGTGAATGGTGAGACAGTCTAAGCTCCCTACACCATGAATATATGAAGCCAGCATTGATCTTCTAGATTTCAGCATTGAAATTGAAGAAAAATAAGCTATATAAGAAAAAAGTGCTTCTGAAACAACATATTTGTAACTACTGTTTTTTTTTTTTAATCAGTGATAGGTTAAGTCAAAAATTACTTCCAGAAAAATTACTTCCATCCATCCACTTGGATTGTGGGATTGTGTTCTTGAAATTTTCATTTGGTTTGAAGAACTATAGTGGTGGTTCATCCATCCAAATTGCCAGCAAGTTAAACTCTGGTGAATGGCCATACATGTTATCACAAAGAACAACATCCAATAGTGTAACCATACTTCAAACTCTCCTGAAAGCCAATCCATGCCTCATGACAAGTCTCACTTTAGAGCACTGTATGAAAGACATACATCAGGGTGACAGAATGGGCCAAGATAATTCTCACAGTTCAATATAATTTTGTTTTCAGAAACCAGTGCAAACGTTTATAAAGTAGGGATGGTATGTTGCATTATGGAGTATTTACCAGTCAGTTAGGAGTTTGTCACTTTCTGCACTTTCTTTCCTTAAAGTAGTGCCTTTAAAGCAATTTAGATGCAATGTCATCTCATTATCCTGTTTAAAACTCTGTCCTCTGGATGCTAGAGATGGCTCAGTGCTTAGGAGCACCTTTTCTTTTAAATATGTATTTTAATGACTTATTATTATGATATAATTACATCATTTTCCCTTTCCTCCCTCCACACCTCCCATACCCCTCTTCTTGTTCTCCTTTAAATTCATGGTCTCATTTTTTAATTAATTGATGTTCACACACGCACGCACATGCACACACACCACTGCTCAGTTTGTATAATGCTACTTGTATGTATGTGTGTGTTTTCCCAGCTAACTATTTGTGTTGGATAGCCAGTTGAGGCACTCTTTTCCAGGGAAGACTATTCCTGCTGCTTTCAGCATTCTTCGTTGCCTGTGGTTCTTCACGCAGGCTTGAGGCCTCGTGGTCTCTCCCCCAACACTTGGGCATGTCTCTGGGTGTATCTCTTGCCCGGCTCATGTGCGGGCAGTTGTGTTGGAGAGCACCTACCTTCCTTGCAGAAGACTCTGTAGGAAACTTCAGCTCCTGGGAATTCAATGCCTTCCTTTGAGCTCTGAAATCACTTCACTCGTGTGTGTATATCAACACACCTAATCACATACGTAAAAAGAAAAATAAAATCTTTAAAAACAACACACATAATCACATAAGCAAAAAGAAAAATAAAATATTTTAAAATGTCTGCTCTTTATGGAGGTATATTTGATAGAGCATTAATAAAAGTTGGGAATATCTGATCAAATTTATTGATGAATACATAGACAGCCAGTGTTTGGTATTTTGTGGAGATTTTTGTTTGTCTTCCTTTCATTTTAAATATGCAATGATTGAGACCAGATTAAGTCTAAATATATTGAATTGGGAAAGGGGGAATGATATAAGTATAAGAAAATTTACATAAACAAGAATAAGTATAATTTAATGCATATTTTGAGATGTCTATGTACCCTAAAATGAGTCTGTCTGATTAATGTGTTTTCACTGTTTGCATTCGGACATCCCCTCACATATGTTTGCTTGTGTCATGTAGACTCAGTGCTCAGAACAATTGAAATAACATAAATACTACTTTCTCTTAGAGAAAACGGGGGCTCCCATAGTTCTAATAGATTTATCCAAACATGACCTCAGGGAATTCTGAAATGGATGATATAGTATTACCAGCAGAGATGTGTGTTCTAATTTCAGGAAGAAAATACTGCCACTCAAAATGCTTGTTCTTAGACTATATGCAGGTGTCATGGCTTAAGTTCCTGCGCATCAGCAATAGAAGGAACACATACATTTCCTCCCTTCCAGACTGGGCTATGTCCATGTGCATGCTGATAAGGATAGCCTGAGACCTGAGGACATGGTCCCTGCCCTGCTGCAGGACTGAAGCTCAGGGGCCTCAATGTTTCGGGAGCAGACGCTGTGCCAAGGACATGGCAAGTGCTCACTGTGTAGGCTTCAGATTAGAAACAAAAGACCCGTGTAAGCTTACGGGAAATTCTTAGTTTCTGAGCAGCTGGACAGCTTTAGTTAATAATTACCCTCACCCAGCCAGTCTCCCTGTTACCTAGTACCCACCCTCAAATTGCTTACTTTTTATAATGTTTAGTCTACCTAACTCAGGAGACAGAGTCTTTGACTGCCCTGTCATAAGAACTGTAGACAGAGTTAGTCAGTAAATATTCTTGAGCGGTGTCCATTTCCACTTAGAAGAAGATATCATTTTGGTGTGTGCATCGAAAGTTTCATTAAGTACTCTTTGTTGACTCTGTGTTCAAATACATTTGCTATCTTGGGTTGAATAAACTATATTATTAAATTATTTTAATTATTTTTATTTTTTCTAAATGTGATTAATAGTAAACTATATTATATTTATGGTTCTTATTGCATTTGTATCCTGTCATGTCCCTCTAGGGAGAAGTAAAATCAGGTGTAAATTAATAAAATGATTTGTGACCCTAGGAGGAAGGTCGCTGATCTCCATGTCTTCTCTTGTGTGTCAGTATGGTTAGCTGTCGGCCTGGCTCCTGTCTGTGGAATAGTGCAGTGCACTATAGAAATCCAGATGTAGATAAAAAAAATTATGTGGTCCTTTATGTGTCCACGAAGTTGCTATCAGTATTTACTCAGTAGTGAAAGAGTGGCTTTCCTGGATTAGCATGGGAAAACCACTCCCATAGACTTTCATAACAAGGACCATAGGAGTTCAGGAAGTGTGGGTTGCAGACTTGGCCCTTCCAGATCTCAGATATTCTGATGGAGGTGTCACCTGTAGCAACTTTGTTCCTCTGATTGGATAAGTGATGGTATGGATAGGGAATTTGTGATGATGTAGCAAGCAATGTGAGGAACACTTGCTTTTAAAGACCATGTTCCATCACTTCTCCTCCCAATATCCAATAGGGAGGTGGAATTTTTACTTCCTAATGAGCATTTTCATGTAAGTAATTCACAGACAGCAGGACCCCAAGTGGGTGATATTCAGTTATTCCCAGGAGAGGAAAGTTACTCATAGCTCACAGCCTAAGAATCCAGAGAATGAACACTTACACTTACATTTGACTGTGTTACCTTTAACATCACTGCCGATGGCTGTTCTTTTTAGCTGTATTTCACTAGGCTCGCCACACTTAGAATGTGCTTCACTAGTGTTCAGAGGTGTGGTGTGTGGTTTGGAAAAGTTAAGAAAGCTGTGCCTGTGTGCCTGATTGAATCGTTACAAGTTGGTTATTTCAGATGTACCCTCACGGGCATGTTGAACTTACAAAACAGCCAAATAAGAGAATTTAGATTTGCTGCAAGTTTCAAATTCGGTGTGCTGAAAACCCACCAAATTTCAGCTTTCATTATTTAAAGTACCATCAGATAAACAGCATAGAAATTTGTTTCTCTGCCTCTACTTCATACCAGGATAGAATAGCTATCAATGCCCACGCAGCAGTAGCTGTTCCTCTTCCAAGACAGTAGCCACCCACATTCTTGATGCCTTTGAAAAGAGAAAGAGTCTGGGGACAGGATATTGTAGTGCGACTTTTCCTATAAGTAGCATTACCTTCCTTTGATTGCAACCTGCTGTTCTTTCTTGGCTTAAGGCCATACCATAAAACCAAGTCCTTGAAATTGATGTTCCTGAATTTGAAATGGACCTCTAAACACATGTGATATTTCCTCCTTAATATCCGGTTAGTTAGTATAGGTGTTTTGTGTTTTAATGACTGTTTATATCTTGCATTTAATCCTTAAGGCACGTCGACCCTGCAGAGTGGCTAAATTAAAAAGTAGATTCCTGAAATATATAGTACTGTGGTTGTTCTCTGAGAGTAAATGATCATGCTCTAAACCTGTTCCTTGTTATATTACCAGAATGGTGTGTGGTGTGTGTGTGTGTGTGTGTGTGGTGTGTGAGCACATGTGTGTGTATGTGCGTGCTTGTGTGTGTGAGAGTGTGGTGTGTGTGCACGTGTGTGCATTGTGTGCGTGTGTGGTGTATGTGTATGTGTGCATGTGTTTGTGTGTGTGGTGTGTGAGCACGTGTGTGTGTATGTGCGTGCTTGTGTGTGTGAGAGTGTGGTGTGTGTGCACGTGTGTGCATGCGTGTGCATTGTGTGCGTGTGTGGTGTATGTGTGCATGTGTTTGTGTGTGTGTGGTGTGTGAGCACATGTGTGTGTATGTGCATGCTTGTGTGTGTGAGAGTGTGGTGTGTGTGCCACATGTGTGCATTGTGTGCGTGTGTGGTGTATGTGTGTGTGCATGTGTGTGTGTGGTGTGTTTGTTCACACCTGGCTGTTAGAAGTTGATGTCTATATTATATATATTTTATTTTTAAAATTAAACAGTCAGTTCAGATGTGTTGAAGTAGAAGGAAATGGATGGTTTTCATGGGTCTAATATCTCCCTGAAGTTATGAGTTCCGGTAT